CATTTGACAATAATTTACACCTTTCATTAGTGGTTAAAATGTATTATCACCTAATCACCTGAACTTGAAAAGTATGCTAAATTTCAGCAAAATCCGTTGTGTTTTATACCTCTATTTATTAGTAACAGAAAATTACTACCCACAAAAATACATAACTAGGTATTTACCTATTTATTATATTATTTTTAATTATAATATTCCTATTCTATGGTAGGTATATGTATAATAAGTACCTATATAAAACACAGGCATTTAATTTGTTATACAAAAGACAACTTGGCAACGCAGCCTAGCAAATACGCGTGCATTTGGTCCCTCAAATTAATTTAATCGCAGAAACGACGGATTTTACTAGGACACCAGCGCCATCACGCGGGTTTATATTTTCGCTAGCGGACGGGTCTTCTAGAGACGTTAGTCTATAATATTCTTTGGCTAAAGTTACCCTCCCACACGCTACGCGAATAAACCCGAATACCAAATATTCGCCGAATACACGTAGTGTCTAGTGTGTGGGACCGGCTTAATATTGACATGACAGGCTTTTCAAAATCTTGTAAGCGTCACATTTCTGTACTTTCACATTTTATCGAGACTGCAATGTATATGCCTATAGGCAGGCATATCCGTTTCCGTCCCGATTTCCCTGCTTGTTTTTTATTGATGACATTGACAGAAAAAAAGTGAAAGTTGATTTTTTCTTAGGCCAATTTACACTATTATTTCGTACCATAAAATCTTTTGCCTCAGAAATTGAGGGTGAAAATAAAATACTATATAAACCTCGACAGAAAACTTGCTGTGTCGAGGTTTAGTTTATCTCGACGTTACGCGTCTCGATCAACTAGATACCTAACTTCTAACCTTTTGACCAGCAATGGAAGCATTTTCCGTCTCGGATTGTAAAATACTTTTGCTCTTATTTTGCCGCATTTTGCTCCATAAATTTTAAGTTTTGCTCCATTACGCTGTAGAGACTATATCGATTTTAAGGTGATGGGGCTAAGTTAATGGTAGCCCCCCACCACTTTTTTCACCTTTCTGACTACAAACTTTGCTCCATTTTGCTCCGTTATTGAGAAATTTTGCTCCACAACCATTCCGTAGCTATAGAGGTTTGAAAAATATTAATATCAGCCCCCCCACCGCTTTTTTCCCTATCTCACTGTGGATTTTTATACTACTAATTTAGCTCCATTTTACTCCGTTATTGAGAAATTTTGCTCCACAACCGTTTCGTAGTTACAGAGGTTAAAAATAGTATATTACATACCGAGGTGGAAAGTGTCTCGAGACAGTAATGAAACTTTTCACCGAGGTATGTATACTATTTTATTTACAATCATTCGAATTTTGAAATTTTCATTTGGATTAAAACTCAAAAATACAATAATTAACAATTTCATATACTTTCGGCCCACGGGTCGAAAGTTTACTTTCGACCCGTGGGCCGAAAGTAAGAGTCAAAAAATACAATAAATTTTAAATATTTCATTTACTTTCGGCCCACGGGTCGAAAGTAAACTTTCGACCCGTGGGCCGAAAGTAAAAGTCAAAAAAGTGACATTTTCGAACTTTTTAAAAGTCAGTAAATTCAACATTACATGTATGATTGTAAATAAAATAATAATCAGCCTCCCCCCCACTACTTTTTTGCCCTCCTATCTGACAATAGATTCTTATACTATTAATTTTGCTCCGTTATTGAAAAAAGAGGTGGGGAGGGGAGGGCTGAATACTATTTTTTAAACCTCTGTAACTACGAAAAGGTTTGGGAGCAAAATTTTTCAATAACGGTCATAATCCACTGTCAGATAGGAAAAAAAGTGGTGGAGGGGGGGCTGATTAATATTTTTTTAACGTCTGTGGCTACGGAACGGTTGTGGAGCAAAATTTCTCAATAACGGAGCAAAATAGAGCAAAATTAGTAGAATAAGAATCCACAGTCAGAAAGGAAAAAAAGTGAATAATATAGTCTCTAAAGCGTAATGGAGCAAAATTAAAATTTATGGAGCAAAATTGAGCAAAATAAGAGCAAAATTATAGATAACTTTTCATCTGAAAATGTTAAGCTTAACCGACCTGCATAAAATAACTATTGTATTTTTATTATCACTCAATAAACAAATTGGTACCCAGCTGAGTGTGAATCGGATACTGTTTTTAAAGCAGTTTTTCAGCGCCACGAAGTTCCGGTTGTTCCTCGTAAATTCGTAGCCATTCAATTACTTCGTCCGCACTTTTGAATCTTTCTCGATAAAGCAAATTATTTATTTTGATTAACTTTTCCATTTTATTATGGATATTATTGAGTAGAACGCAACAAAACTGCACAATGCGGATTCGATAAACAAATCCACATTACATAACCTCCAACTACATTCCACTACCCACTCCTACATACATTCATTCCCCTTCTCGATTCAGCACCGTTTGCACAATCCACTAACACACTGAGCACCACGTATTGGCGGCAGCTTGAAATAAATCAACTGAAGCATATGACATAACACTCTCTGTTTTGAACACCGTTCTAACAATCTCCTACGTAGAGCAAAATGAAAAATGAAAGTCCTCGGTGGGTGCCGAAGTCTATAGTGGAACGGCTAAATGCAACCGGGTGACCACTGCACCGATCCCTTTTTCATGCATCCTTTAGCTGGTTACTTCTTACTTCTAATAGTGATTAGTGACTCTCATGAATGCATATATTTCTGGATGCATTGACACGTGAGGCTCACAAAACTCGGTACTGTCTGCACACCATTTGCGCTTTCATTTCTTCTTACTATGAAACCAGGTTTTCGTCTATAAAGGGCCCCACAGACTAAGATGAAACACGACGGTTTTCTACCACACACTTCGGTTTTGGAACGACGTGTTCCATCGCGGCGATGAAAACCATCGTGTTTCATCGTAGTCTGTGGGGCCCTTAACATGTTATCATACATCTGCATCATCCTTGTTCCCATCCAACTTCCTTTGTTAGACAAAGAAAATTTGTGGAAATTAAAGTCAAAGGAAAATTGAAAAAGTTGGGGTTTGTGCAGGATTTGAACCTGCGACCTCCGCATTGCTAGTACGACACTCTACCAACTGAGCTAACAAGCCCGCCTGGTAGAGATCGGCGAATACATGATCACTTTCATTCTCCTCATCATGTATTCGCCGATCTCTACCAGGCGGGCTTGTTAGCTCAGTTGGTAGAGTGTCGTACTAGCAATGCGGAGGTCGCAGGTTCAAATCCTGCACAAACCCCAACTTTTTCAATTTTCCTTTGACTTTAATTTCCACAAATTTTCTTTGTGAAACTAGTTTCGGTACCTATAACCGACAAAAATTCTCCCTTTGTTCCTTTGTTAGGTTCTGAATCACATGAACCTTTGCAGCACTTCACTTTGAGCCCCGTGTATTGCAGCCTTCACCTGCTCATGTCGAATTTGATTTGTTTTTGTTGTGTTTTGATTTTGGTGGTTATGATTAGGCTTGGGCATGGCACTGATTACTGCTGGTAACATTGGAGTACAGGTTTTTTTTTTATATATTGACACCCGACCTACAGCCTTTACCTTTACAGGTAGAAGAAAGGTGTAAATACAAAAGTTGTACAGTTTGAGTTAGATTTTTAGAATCCATGGTCAGAAACAGAAATTGTATGTCGCAATTGTGAAATTTTGCATGCTTTCAGCTTTTTTTGCATGAGATGCCCTATATTTGGTTCCACACTCTTGAAAAGCACAATGCCCCGATTCCAAAAATATATAGTTTGTCTATATTTGGTTGAGCAGTCTCTAATATATTCGGCTCCATAAATTGTGAAAATACTATCCCATAATAGACATACCATTCTACCTGTACAGGTGAAACCTGCAGGTAAAATTTGAGGCATGTATTTACTTGGTTTCTCTGATAGTATTTTTGAAATTTTTAGAACCAAATATGTTGGAGCCGGCTCAACCAAATATAGACAAACTATATATTTTTGGATTCAGGAAATTGTTCTCTTCAAGAATATAGAACCCAATATAGGGCATCCATTTTGAAAAAAGCTGGAAGCATGCAATATTTCACATTTCTGACATTCAATTATAGGTGGGGTATCAATATATATAAAAAAAAACACCCTGTACATGGGTGCAAGCAGACCAGTTGCGTTTGCTTGACCTTGATAATTGGCGGTAGAGGGCAATGGAATATCTTACACTTATTGCTTGTTAGTTCAGTTCTTATCTTTGATTTTTTCCTTTAAGAATGGTAGGTAACCAGTTATTAATAAAGGACGTTTTCAACAATATCATGCACTTTGGCTTATACTGGTTGCAAAACCAGAAAATATTGCTTATTTCATTGATTACTTAAACCGTGAATCATTTTTATTCAGATACTTTCCTTGACTGAAGAAGTCTCAAATTTCTTCTTTCCTGATCCTTTCATATTCTTTAATCTAACGAATGAAGGAGTTTCATCAAGATGAATTTTGCCTAATACATATTGTATCAACTAATGCTGTAACTATTAAATAATCCAATGAGAATCTACTCTCCCGGTTTCTAGAATGATAGCTTCAGGTCTTTGCATAACTGGTTGGTTCCTTGCAAAAAGTGTTTAATATTATTTCATGCAGGGCGGATCCACTAAAACTCACTTCACATTTAGAGACTTTTATTGAATACATTCATCACTTTATAAAAACTCACTTATCCAAACTGTGTACAACAACATTGTTATTTAAACTGACTTCAACAACACTCTTATTTAAACTATACTACTAACTGACTTCTAAGCGCTATTTATAGACAATACCGTACTCCGGATTTATCTAAAAGTATAGTTTCCCAAAGAATTTGTGAATTTTCGCGACCGCATCAGAGAAATTGGTCGACATTTCAGCAAATATTTTTCAATCAAATTGTGAATCATACTTTTTTTCTCAGTTTCGTGGATTTCAATTTCTGTGGATGTTTTGTTTTCTACAAAAGGGAAAATACAAGTGCAAGTGAGCAAATTCCTTTATTAACTACATTATACAACACAAATCAGCTAAGCTACTTGTCTCTTATCTCGTCTTCTAAATAATCAAACTCTTGGCGCTCGTCAGAGGAAAATATAAAAAAGGCAACGGTAGTCACCACAGACAAGGCCAGCATTATGGAAAATGCTATTTTCCAGCCAAAGAATTGTTTCTAAAAAAACACCATTTCATACATTACTTAGGTAGCAAATTTTTCAATTCGTACTTCGGCTGCTAGGTATCCCATAATGAGGTTACCAATTACGCCACTTATTGAACTGATAGCATTCATTCCTCCATACAATAGACCCCCATAATTTCTGGACAAAGTGTTAATGTTGATAGGTAAAGTGACGTAATAAAAGGCTTTTACTATCATGCTGGCAATAAAAAAAAAGTTAACTAGGTATCTGTTGCATTCTGAGAAGGTTGCTGCTAGCAGTAGTGCCGAAGATACAACATTTGCTGTAACAAAATTTTGTATTTTTTTTACAAAATAGGAATTTCTTTAATAATTACATCCTGCTCCAAAATATTTATCAAAGGTCTTTTTAGTCATGCAGCGTAAAAAAACTTTTGATGTAGTGAAGGATAGCACTAAACTGAAGAGATACATAGCTGCGAAGGGCATGGCAGCAAACAATCCATCATGAGCTACGCCATACATCAAAATATCGCTCATATAGGTGGGCAGGTAAGTGATAATGGTAAAATAAATAAAATGGTGGGCGAATTGAGCCCACACATTGGCCCAGTAAGGTGCATTGGTTAATATAGCTTTCCAGGGGGTATTTTTGGGCTGTCGTGATAAATTAATCAAGCCTAAAATGAGTATTGTGTGAAAAAAAAAGTCAATATAAATTAACACATAGGTACCTACCACTGGCACTCCGGATGTACTCGTTCTCTACTTGGGACATAAAAGGATGGTCGTCAGGAAATGAGAACAAATATAAGCAAAGGAATATTAAATAGATTCCAGAGTAGCCACCCCAAAGGTAGAAAACAGGCGACCAACTGTTAAAAAATTCCATTAGAACTCCTGTTATCAGACTACCCGCAACGACGCCCAAATTCATACCACTGTAGCATAAACTGCCCAAAGTAGCCCGCTCTTCGGGCGGTATCCACGTACTAACCAACGATGCTGTGCATGGAATACAAACACCCTATTGATCTGAAATTTAATTTTAGGGCCAAGATAAAAATAATGGTTCTTACATGTGATGCTCCTAAAACCAATCTGTTAACCACAGCCGCAATATAACCAAAATGATGCACTGTGACAGGTAATGTAGCTGAGCTAGTAATAGTTATCAATACACTAACTATAAGAACATAACGTGCACCATATTTGTCAGCTAACCATCCACCTGGTATTTGGGTCGGGGTGTAGCCTATGTAAAAAGCGTAGAGTATCAAGGATTTGGTCGTTTGAGACCAGGAGAAGCTACCCTAAATAAAATAACCATTATTTACTGTGGAATGACTTTACAGTAGTTTACCTCCTGAGTATGATTGGGTTGTTCAAACTCTGGACAAGCTGGTTGATGATCAGGATCGTTTTTTGCAGGTTCGACCATTTCCACTATGGCTATATTTAGCACTATTCTGTTGCTGAAGTTGCTTTGCAAGAGAAAATGGAGTAAGATGGCTAAGATTATACGTTGAGGAAGCCTGACGTCTGTAATTTTAATTTTGATTAAAATTCATTGATTTGAGATTGCACTTACAGCAACATTTGCCCGCTAAAGGGTGACAACACAAAGTTGTATCTGTGTTATCAGGCTCAGGATTTGTGGATAATGTGGCCATAATTTCAAAGTGTTGCCAAACTATATGACAATTCTTACTGTCGTTTTGGAAGTATGTTCGTACAAAACAAATTAATACCTATTTTTCGCTTTTCCTTATTTTTTGCATTCTAGAGAAAAAATTCAATACAATTAGATCTTCGGAAGAGGGTTTGTTTTAAAATTATTTGAGTAATTTGACGAATACTGTTCAAATTGATTTTTAGAATAAAGCTTATAATGTATCATCTCCTCCTATTTCAACATCTACTCTTTCAACATCTTATATACCTGTCTCTATCTTGACGTGTAGAATTCATAGAATAGGCTCGTACAGCATTTTTTTTTATTACATATTCTAAAAGAGCGTGTTGAGTTTAGCAGTTATGCAAAATTTCATAATTTTCTGATGAGCCCTTGTTCATATTTAAACAAATTATCAAAGTACTCCAAATTTGAAACACGCGGTGACGTCACTGCATCTCTCACGTCGGTCGTCGCGATGCTGGTACGTCAGTCACACGTCAGTCACTTCGACAATACGGGCATTGTTTTGACAAATTTTGGTTTGGCATCGTTTAGACAAGTTTTAGTTTGGCATTTTATGTATCTGGTATAGGTTTGATATTTTTCTTTCAAATCACATTTCGTAAATTTTAATAATTCCCTGAGTTTCAATATTTTATAAGCACAATTATGGAAGTAGCATGCAAAAAGAAAAATTTTAAATATTATAGTTTCGCAAACTGTGTGCCAAACTGTCAATAGAAAGTCAGTTGACATTGCGTTATGCAAAACCGTGTCTGACGGCCTTTAGCCTGTCTCGACTCGAGAGATGCTATGACGTCACTGCAATGAATTCCCGAGGCATAACTGTTTTAATATTAAAAAACGCGTAACTTTTCTAATATTTATCCAATTGAGCTGAAATTTTTCTTATGTGCTACATATGAGTAATACTCCATAAAAATGTGAAAAACCGCGTTAAATTTTTTTTATTGAACGAGCCTATTAGGCAATTCAATCCATCTGTCAAAAAAGAAAATTCAATGTGGCGTGGCGGCCAAGCAAGTTTGTTTTGAATATGTATTTATGCGTATTTTAAATTATCTTGCATACAGTTTTGCTTACAACTTTGATTTTCATTATTTAATGAACTATTTTTTGACTAGGTACCTAAACTATTAATTCAGGCAGAAACTAGATATTTTTTTGTGTTTTTTAGCCCATGTGTGGCCGCCACGCCCTCCATCTTGAATGTCACGTGGTTTGAATTGCCTAATTGAACAGTGATATAGTCGTAATCACGAAAGAAAGTGAAGTTGACAGTTCGCGTTGACATAACTAGTATTTTTTTTCTTTAGGTTGCCAGCATGCGTAAGCGTTTTCATTCCGTCAGCTGGGATGAACGACAGGGTCGTATTTAGAAAAATGATATAGTTCACTGTGATATACATTCCAGAATAAAAATTTATTTTTAATTTCTTTAAAGGAAGTTATTAAAATCCTGCATAGTAATATTAAACATCTGTAATAGAACAAAACGTAATATTTTCTAATAGTTGTTGCTGTAGCTAGCCACCCAAGTACTCTGTTGATTTTTAAAGGTTAGATGGTATAAGCGAGCGGTTTATTGATGCTAGTTATTTCCTTGGGTAGCTACAGAATTGAATGCTGAAGGGGGTTTACTTCCAAAAGAGAGAAACAACTGCAGCATTTTCACACATATTATATATATTTAATTTTAAATAAAAGGACCCAAATTTTTCCAATAATAATATACAGTACTAAAATTTCTACTCAAATTTTCCATTAATAAAATTATACAGTACTAAAATTTCTACTCAAATTTTCCAATAATAAAATTATAGAGTACTTATAAATTTCTACCCAAAAACTCTTCTCATGTGGCTCACATCAGGCTTTTCCGTGAGGGCTCTTCTTGGATCATCCTTTCTAAAGGTAAATCCTAATGTGGGCAAAACCCTGCCTAAACTTGACTGGGAACCGTAATAAATTTCCCTTTCTTTCAGCCTATCACTTACAGTCTTAAGGGTAACATGCAATTCTAAAAACGAAAAATGCTTGTTTAAATATTGTAGTACTGTAGCAACAGCAAATATTACTGATTTAACTTAGTATATCTTGTTCAATTAGCTTTGAGACTTTCGTCAATAATGACACCGAGTGTATTCTTATGGAATTTGCTGGTGGCACCATTATAACAACTCTTAAAGGTAATTGAACAAAGTAACTCAGTACTTATTACTATTCAACACCAGTCCCTATAACAAAAAGACTACTACCCAAAAATGAACTAAAATTACCCAGTCTAGTTTGTGAAATGGCTTAAACTTATAATTGAAGAAGAGAGGAGTATGCATTCTGTGTAATAATTTATTAAGAAAATCCGCCGAGTGCTTCCGGCCTTAAGTCATCACCAGTGCTGCTTCGTCGCACAAAAATTCGAAATTCAAAATTCTAAGATCCGAATCTGATAATTTTATATGTCAAATCGAAATGTCATGTATCATTATTTGATGGTTGACAGAAAAAGGGACAAATCTAGGGATTTATTTACTTTTAACTGGTGAAAATAACGGTCAAAATTTAAACTCTATCGTGAATACGACTATAGATAACTCAATGGTGACATGGTTAATTAACATCTCTCTGATTTATGTAGTCACGCGATTCTGTGGAAGAAACCGTTTGGGCCAGTTCGACAATTCAAGTATATCCTTATAGTGTAGGTGCCCAGCGACATAAAGTTGCATTTATGAATACTGCCTTGGAATGTTGTGTGTGGCTTAATTGCGCCGCCTAGTCTACCATCTTTTTCCTTTATGAAAACTTTCGTAGTGGGGGCTTTTCTTTTCGAGTTTTTCCGAAAGCCGACCATTTCGCGTGGTGCAAAAAATTTATAGATATCATTTTTATTTTTAGTGAAATCGCGAGACAAATTCATGAAAAACGCGAAAAAAAAATGTGTCTGACAAAAATGTTGGAGCGTTAAGGGTGTCTACCAACTCAAACATATCCAATTGACAAGTTAAAAAAATTTTTGGATAACGACCTGATTTTTTAGAATTACTTAATAAAAATATGAGGAATATAAATATCCAATTGTCCGACATATTACATTTTCCGATTTTCCAGTCGGATGCGGGAAAATCATCGATTTCACGAAGCCAAAAAATTTACGAATAACAATTTCTTCTTTCGATTTATTGCATTGAAAAGAACTATAGAACATAATGAGTAAGTTGTCCGACAGTAAAACATTACCGCTTATGCGTAAGAAAGAAGCAAAAAGTTTTTTTGAATTTAGTCGGTGTACCTGACGTCGAGGTGCGCTCCAATCATCTCCTATCTCCTGTTGTAATGATTCCTACTCCATAAGCCTATCATTATGTTTTTGATTTAAACAACAAACAAAAAATATTTTGCGAAAAGACTATAATTTTAAAATACAACAAAATCGAATCAGTCACAGTCAATACGAAAGCAACACAAAAATATTTAGGTACATTAAATCTCAAAAAAGCCGCTACATTCCGGCCTACGCCTACTGCACTGGTGGTATTGAGGTTCTTGTTCATTCTGGTTTATTCTTCTGCTTGGAGTGTATACGTTATATACGACACTACTGGATCATATGAATAAAACAGAAACAAATGCTTTTACTTACGTTTTTTGAGACAAACATATTCAGCTTTATTGTAGCAAAAAGAGACAAAGGTAGAGTAAAAGTATTTGCTACACTTTATTCATACGGCTGAATCAGCCGTATGAATAAATAAATATCTATTTTCGGTGACATAATTTGTCTGATCACCACAGTATTTAGATTTTTTTTTAAATGAATTGTTTTTTGTGTAATTCATTAAAAGGTAGACCTCATTTTAAACAAAAAACAGAACAACAGTTTCACAGCCTCAAATATAGTGATGTGATATTACCAGATACTTCCGATAATGAACTACATAATTGGTTATCATTCATCCTGCTAAACAATTCAATTAGGCCAAGCAATGAAGGAAGTTTACCTCAACATAATTGGAAGTTAACATTTTTTGGGGGGGATCGGTTAATTTTCATGTGCTTAATAACATATTAAGTTTGCGACCTTGTATTTCCATAGGGTTTTTAGTTAGGGGTGGTTTTTAGGGGTAATTTGCGGTTTATGGAGAACGCTGCACAAAGGGATGGTCCAATAGCAAAAAGTTTCAAATAAATGTTGTAGCTGAAGTTTTTTGCTATAAAAAACTCAGCGACAGCACCCTTCTATCTTCTATAGTTTTTTTTCTGCAGCGTCTTGAATACTAGCGTGTTTTTATCCAAGGTCACTGAATCAACGTTTTACCTGTTTGCGCGCGTTTGATGCAGCAACTGCTAAATGCATTATCCGATTTCAATTTTTTAAAACACCACATTATTGCTAATGAAATGTACTCTCCAATGCTTTTCTGTTCGAATTTTTTGCTTGAAAATTAAGCGAGCACGGACTTGGCTAATGTGCGAGAGAGTTGTAAATTGCATCTTCTTCCATTCACTGTAATTTCTAAACGGGGCGAAATATTTGGTGACAGTTTTCGACAATCGGCAGCCCATTTATTCCTCTCATATTGCCCCAGCGGATTTTTTTTTTCGTTGATTACCCAATGACTTATTGGCCTGAACACGTCGCGCGGAATTTTTCAAAAAGTCGAAAAAAATTAAAATTGTCGCACAGCGCTGAAATTTGGTACGATGGCATTATTTATTGTTCTCATGAATATACTGCAATTTTAATGGTTGCAGCAGTCATGTGAAGCAATTAAAATTTCAGTATATTCAAAAAAACAATAAAAAAAAAGCCATCGTACCAAATTTCAGCGCTGTGCGACAATTTTAATTTTTTTCGACTTTTCGAAAAATTCCGCGCGACGTGTTCAGGCCAATAAGTCATTGGGTAATCAATGAAAAAAAAATCCGCTGGGGCAATATGAGAGGAATAAATGGGCTGCCGATTGTCGAAAACTGTCACTA